AGAATTCAAAGGTCCAAAGCGCAGAGCATACCAGCGTGCTCGACTGTGACTGTGACTGTGACTGTGACTGTTCTTGTGCTCCTTGCTGAGCCCTCTCCCTCTCCCTCTGCCTCTCCCTCTCCCTCTCATCCTCGAGTATATGCGCTGCGTTTGAATCAGCATCCGCAGAGGCAGACTGCTGCTGCTGCTGCTGCCGCTGCTGCGTCGACGTCGACGTCGACCTCCTCTTCCACTGCAGCTCAGCCATTGTACCGCTGGTCAGCTCACTCAGCGTCTGCTCCCTCGATGCTTTGCCTTTGCGCTTGACGGCCGGATCGAATGCGGCGTTGCAGGCTGCTACGAGGCTGCTGTAAGCTCTGATCAGCTTCTCGGCTTGTGCTGCAGCCGCGTCCGAGTGAGCGGGGCGGGTGCGGGTGCGGGTGCGCAGCGGGACGGAGACGGTCCCTTGCGCTCCAGTCGATGTCGATGGCGATGTCGATGGCGATGTCTCGCTTGGCTCATCCCCTTTCGACATTCTCGCATCTCCATCACCCTCGACGCTCGCACCCGCACCCGCACCCGCACCCGCACCCGTACCCGTACCTGCACTGCTGCCCAGCTCGTCATCCCGCACCACATACTGGCTCCACCTGACGCGCAGTCCGCAAGGCAGAGGAAGCTGCTCAAATCCCATCAGCGCATCTCGCGGCAGATTCCCAAGCAGTGTGAATGCGGATGCGGATGCGGATGCGTTGCTGGCCGAAGCGTAGCTTGTGGAGCCAGCCGATCGACTTGCCTGCTGAGCGCCCGACTGCGAGTGCGAGTGCGAGTGTGAAGGTGCGTGTGAAGGTGCGTGTGGGAGGGAAGAAGAAGAAACAGCAGCGTAGCCTTGCGCGGTCTGATATGGATACGATGCAGCGCCATCCTTGCTTCTCGTCCAAGCCTGCTTAGCACCAGCACCGGCACTCTCCCACGAGGCCATTCTCATCTCGTACTCCGTCGGTCTATGCTGATGATGAGGCGCCGAATGCTGCTGCTGCTGCTGCTGCTGCATGGTGTGCGGCCGAGCAAGCGAGTGTCGAGCCGGACCTGCTGTTGCGTTGGTATCGAGCATCGACTTGGAGCTTTGCCAAGCTTGAGCAGTCGATGATCCGGCGACGTTGCCTGTGCCTGTGTCGGTGCCTGTTGCAGTGCCGCTGCCACTGCCGCTGCCGCTGCCTGATGCTGCTGGACGAGCAGGCAGGCGGTGATGTCTCATGATGAGCAGCGTGAGCAGCGTGGCTGATCTAGTCGCACCGCACCGCACCGCAGCAGCACGCGTGCGGTGTTTGATTGAAGAGATGTGAAAAGTGAAAAAAAAGAAAGAAAAGAGCTGATGATGAGTGGAAAGCGCAAGATTGCAAAGCAAAGGTGTGCTTTGCATCTCCATTCAAATTCCAGGCTTTCAAGGCGGTCAGGACACTCTTGACTCTTGGACTCCAAACCTCACACTCCATCCAAGCCATTCACGTGATCCAGGATGGGATGGATGGACGATGCAGGTGCTGACCTGCATGAAGCGTGTGGCTGCCTGGCTGGCTGGCTGATCGATGCGCATGTGGAGCGAGCGCACAGCACAGCACAGCACGCCCCGCCCCGCCCCGCCCCGCGATCACGTGCTCACTTGCGCATCCAAGGCATCTTTCCCAATTTTTGAATATTTCAATTCATCACATCACGCCTCTCGACTCACACTCGCATCTTTGCATCTTTGCACTACCCTGCCCCACCTTCCGAGAGAGAGAGAGAGAGAGAGGGA